AAAACTTTATTCTTTCTCTTTGTTTTATTTCTCTCTTTTTTTCTTTCTTCTTTCTTCCTTTCTGTCCTCATAATTAAGACTTCAGAACATTGTTACTTCCAATCATTAAATTTACCTTTAGCTACCAACATTTCTAAATAAAATGTTTTTTAAATTTTAATTGTGAGAATGTAGCTTCTACCAGAGAAGCTTACTTTTATATCCAAAATGTAATATTTCTTGTTAAATATCTACCATGGTAAATACATGCTACATATAACACATACTTATTCATGCTGCATCCTTCTTCCCTTTTGTAATCAACTCTGAAAGTAGTCCATTTAAGCTCTTTGGTATGCTTTTCTTATAGGAGAAACCTTTATGTAAAGTAATACTATATCATTTCAGTGTTTGACTTTTAAGTTTACCATCAGTCAAGAATTTAAATGAATGAAGTATGCTTATATGAGCTTTTCTGAATATGAATATCTTTAGAATGACACCATTCAGAATGCTAATTCTGTGCCTATTAGAAACAGTTAAGGAGGGAATATAAGCTGAAATATATAGCATTTTAAATTTAGACAGAATAAATTCCTTTTCTAGAAGTTCTGACCCTGTGATGCTATTTTAAAAGAGAAAATATTATTAAACTAACCTATTATTTTATCTATACAATGCTAATAGTTTGAGATTTTCACTTAGATACTGCTTGTATTGATTTATTTTACATGGAAAATATTGCTTTGATTTTTAAGTGTACTTTAAAACTGCCTTCTAAGCTTTAGTGCTGAACTCTTGCCCTTTTATTAAAAATTAACTATTTGCAAAAGAAGTCTCTTCCTTCAGACAGATCACTTTTAAGATTTAATACTCCAACATCTAGACTTGTAAAACCAGTACAACTGTCTTTAAGATTAATCTTGGATTTTAAATGAGAATTTTAGCCTAATTTGTGAACTCCTGTGCCCAGTATAGCACTAAAACCATATTGTAAAATTAGTTATAACTTTTTGGAATTTTGAACTTATGTGAATAGGAAAAATTGTTATTTATGGTAAGTGTAACAAAGGAAGGATAGGGCCTTTCCCAGATCATGGAAGGTATATTGCTGTGCTTTCTCAATCAGAAAAATGAGATTTCTTGTATTTATTTAAAATAATTCTTCAGGCATCATTTTTATCAGATATCATTTAAGAGAACTAAAATCTATCAATTATGGATTTAAGTAGTCATTTACTAAGAGGCATGTTTTTAGTCTTTGTATTCTTTTCTCTATGTCTTGCTTCTATGTAGAGAAAATTAAGGCATGTCTAGGATAGAAGCTGGAATTTGTAATCAAATTTAGAGATCTAATGGACCATTGTAAGTGTTAGGTTTATGCTGTTTTGACTTTTACAGTGATTGTTTAAAAAATTTTGGACTAAATCCCTTAATTTTTTATAGTTTGATATTTATAGGTAAACATTCAAAATAAATATCAAAATAGACAAATTTATTAAAGACCCTTGATATTCTGCTTTGTAATAACATTTTCTCTTACTGGAATGTTTATGAAACACAAACTGGGAAATTCTTAGGAAAATGATTTCATATTTAAAAACAGCATTTTGATTTCATAAGGTAATCCCAATAGCAGTAACCAACACACTTAAGTTGCTTTTTTAGATTCAAGAAAGCTAAAATAGCTCTTTATATTTAAAACAAAACAATAAAAAATGAAAGCAGCAACTTCTTAATCAGTTACTTTTGAATTAGGTTATTTAAATCCATAATTAAAACTAAGAACATTATCCACACGTTTTCTTCAACAGATTGCTTGAAAATAACTCATTATTACTAGTCAGCTGGTTTCCTTTATTTAATTATAAAAACATTTCAGTGGTTCATTTTCAATCTACGGGCATAATAAATTAGGATATAATGGATGCTTGATTATATAGAATGGTTGTAGACTGAGGTATTTGGTTGATTTTGTATTCTGGTTATTGGTTATTACCACAGATTTGTTAAGTTCTGAAGAATTATAATGTAAGCTAAATTAGCTAAATGACTTCTTGAACTTTCTCTAAGGAGTCAAAAAGACCTTAAGTATTTTTTAGCAACTTAAATGAATGTATGAACATCATTGTGTTTTAGAGTATTTTTTTTCTAGCTATGTAAAGATGAAGGTTTTTAAAAATATTCCTTGATATCCCCTTGCTTGTCACTTGTCTATTTTTTATGTAGTTTAAAATGCACAAAAGTCATTTATTTATTTATTTTAGATATATGAAGCTTGTAACAGTGAAAGTATACTGTAAAAATATGAAATTCAGCTACTGAGATGAAAATATCGTTTAGGATATTAAAAAAAATTTAAGGAATCTAGCAGTTAACTTGAAATAGACATTCTCAAATGTTTACTTTTATATTTTAAAGAGTATAACAAAATTTATGGAGAATGTGAATCTTACATTAAAATAGTTGCCCATGGGTGAAATAAAATTTTGAAAAGTGTTTAATCTATTCTACCCAGTATTTTTCTTTTAATTTGAATTATTTGCTAATACTTATAAATTAGCAAATTTCACATGAAATTCTGGGTCTTTAGCTTGTCTTGCAAAAGCTGAAGTAAAGGGTGTTCTAATTATTCATAGGGTAGATCTTTTTATACCTCTTGTTTTACACCTGGTCTTTTTTATCTCATTGACTTATTTAGAGCCAAAGTTATGTAGCAGAAAGAATGTGAGCTCTGGAACCAGACAGGATGACTTCAATTTTGGCTTTAATACTTGTGATTCTAAATTACTTACTCTGTCTGTACCTCAGTTTCTCGATGGTAAAATGAAAATAAAATTGACGAAGATAAGTCGGTTGGTTTGTAAGGAAGATGAAGTGAGTGTACGTGAAACATTTGGAGTTTTTGGTGTATATTCATTGTGTATAAATGTTAACCTTAATTAATAATGCTTTTTGCCTGACCTCATTAGACATTTGAATTTGATGACTGCTCCATAGTAGAGGACTTTATTTATGAATTGCCTTCTGTGTTAAGCAGAATTTGTCAAACTCTATTTTATACTATAAATGATCATCTACATTTTGCCGTCCTCTACTAGATTATATTCTCCAGAGTTTCTGCTAGATAGTAAGTGATTTATGGATTTAAGATTTATGGCTTTAGATATTCTTACTGCATGTTTGCTACAAAAGTTCTCTGTTTTTCCTAATCCTCTGCTTATATTGTTTTAGCCACAATCCCAGGGAGACAGGATTTATTAACATCTGACTGTGATTGTGTGGGTGTAGGGGGTTTTAGAGACTTCTGATAAAAATTAGAGCGTGTATATGAGTATTTTACAAGGTGATGATTTTAGAGAGAAAGTAAATAGGATAGAGGAGCATTTTGTTTTGGAAAAGGTGATCAAGAATTTGTGAATTCAGGAGCATCTCTGGAGCTTTTCCTCCATAGGTGAAGACTGTATCCTATAAAATGATCATTTTGTTTGGACTTGCTTTTACCACTTCTCTTTTCTCTTACCATTTCTTCTTTCTCTCATGTTCTTGCTGCTCCTTATATTTAAAAGATTATGTTACTTACAATGTTTTGCATGAAAATTGGTGAACTTGGTTTAGTTTTTGGAAGAGTTATGATTTTGGAAGGTAATTTGCTTCTTATGGACATAAAAAATTTACAGTGTACCTTGGAAGTTGAAAATAATTTAAAACAAAAATTGTTCAATATGGAATAATTTATATAAGTTAGAATTGAGAGGGAAAACTTTCAAAATGACAAAAGGAAATATAGGTAGTTATTTATATAATCTTGTAAGTATAACAGCAGAGGTGGAAATGATACTGGACATACAGATATATTTGGGCATATAAAAAATTACCTATGTCAAAAAATGTCATACAACTGAAAGACATATAGACTGTGAGAAAAACATATGTATCACATGACCAAGGTTTAATATCCTTAATACTTAAAGCATGCTTAGAAATCATGAAGACAGTCATTAACAATTAACTCCATTAACAAAAGACAATAAACAAATGTTAGAGAAACAGTATCTCAGTAATTATCAAGCAAATGCAATACAAAATTTGACTATCATGTTGGTTCAAAAAATCAAAGGGGAAACATCCACTGTTAACAAGAATCAAGGGGAAACGAATTGTTCTGTTAGGTAACCTTTATAGAGCACAATTTGCCAAAATCTTATTTTTTAAATATATATTTTAATCCAGCTATTGTACTTTAAGATTTTATCCTAAGGAAGTAATCATGGATACGATACAGAGATACTGCTAAAAGATACTTATTTTTGAGCCTGTTTATAGTGTTGAACAACTGAAAATATCTTGTTTACTACATAAGGAATTGGTTACATGAATTGTGCTGACTATATAATAGAATGCTAGGGATCATTAGAAATTATAATATAGACACATAATTGTTATTTTGTTTTTAAACTGGGAGGAAAACACTGATTTTAAAGTATTCATAGATTACATAATCACTATGTTTAGCATGTTATGGATCACATTAAAACCATAGGTGTTATAAACACCCAGAATAAATACAGGAAGTATATGTGTGATACACTGAAATGTTAACACTAATATTTCTAGCTAATACTATCATGAATAATTTTAATTTGCTATATTTTCCGTATTTTGAAAGTTTCCATTGTGAATTTTTTTTTATTTTGGCCGTAAAAGAAAAGAATGCTATAAATGTGAGAATATTCTCTTTAATTTAGAGTTTAGCTTATTTATTGAAAATAAATTTGATTCAAAATTGAGATAAAGATTATAAATGAAGCTCAGATTTTTTAGAAATTTTTGAAATGGACATTTTTTGCTACCTTTTTCCTTTCTTTGCATAAGCCTACTGATGTGAGGCAATAGTCCCTGGAGCCTGGGAAAACTTGTGAATGTGTGTAATGCTCATTTAATCATTTCAGTCTTATATTTATTCCCAGTCATAGCAGACAAATAATTTATTATTTTTCTCTGTATTTCCCCTCTCCCAGGTAGTTACTTTTGGTGACATTGTCCAGTTCCCACAATGTATCATTCCTTATCTGAAACTAGACATCCTCTGCAGCCAGAAGAGCAAGAAGTAGGCATTGACCCCTTGTCCAGTTACTCTAACAAGTCTGGAGGTGAGTTTTATATTCCAATGCTGTCTGCAGGTAGGATACTGGGAAACGTAGCAGAGGGCCTTCAGTTAGTTCTGTCCACCTTATGTGTGTAATTCTCTTGATGAAGCTGAGCAGGCCAATGTTAAGTACATTATTCTGGATATGTATAGAGCACTCTTGATGCTAATGAATACTCCAACTAGTCAGCCTTCAGTTATCCACATAGGCATTAGCTAATGGCATTCTTTAAAAGAAAATAATAAACTGAATAATGACTTTTGCATAAGTATGTTGAAATGCAAAATGGCCTTGGTCAAACATCTTTTAAAGAATCTTAAATTTTTGGTGTTGATTTTGCAGAGATTTTTTTCCTCTTCAGTAGATTGAGATTATCCCAGCATAAAAGACTTGATTCATCCTCTTTTTTTCTGTTTAAAAAAATTGAAATTTGCATTATATTTTAAACAATCTATACATTGAAATTATTAATTGGTAGACTGTTAAAAGGTAGACTTAATTTAGGTTATCAAATGTTTATGTATCAAAACTCTTTTATTTTCTCTATATTTACTTAAAGATAGTAATAACATAGTTTCTTAGAAGGAAGCAGTTGAATTTGTGAGAATTCTGGAAGCCTTATCCTTATTTTTTAAGCACTTAATAAATATTTGATAAAGTTCATTGACTCAGTGACTGCTTGTAATTTTTCACTTGTAAAATGAAGGTATCAAGATTGGGAGATCTATTTTAAAACAAATTAGTCAAAGTAGATGGACAAACGCTTATAAAAAAGGAAAATTAGTCAAAGTAAATCATGAGCGTTATATTCTTCAAATAAAATGATTTTTCTGTTTATATTGATGTCAAACTCTGCTTTTAACTCATGTTTTGAGAATTAAAAAAAGAAATTGACTTCTACCTAAAGTATTTCTTGAGAACACAAACTTTATGCAGAATGTTTATTTTTTGTGCATTCTTTAATACCTCCTGCATACAAATGCCATTGTTGTTTTTAATGAAAATAGGAGAGAATTTGCCCAACTTATTTTGTGATTTAATTGTTTAATTTTTATATTTTTTGTTAAATAAGAACTGAAGACTTATGTTTAAGATTTTGATAATATGAAAATTAGCAGTGTCCATTTCAATTTCAGTATTTTAATATCTCAGTGCTAAGCATGACACCGTTTCTAGTGTTATTTTCTCTTAAATGTAATGCTCATAATAAACATTCATAATTAAATAAGTCAGATTACTTTGTTAGCGCTTTTATAAGTGGGTGTTTTAAAAGTGAATGTCTTTGGTTTACAAGTATATAAAGTAGTTTCTCCAAAATATTCCATACTATTTCTGATTATTCTCGTTATTTGAGGACATAGTTTTTGTTGTTATTTGTTTTTTTTAAGTGGGTATTTTTCTATGGTCTATTTCATTAAATACTGAGTTTTTTTTTTTTAACCTGGTTAAAAAACATTTTAAATTAATTTTATCCTTTATTGTTTACAGGAATAAGTAGTTACCTTTACTAAAAAGGCTTTTCGTTTATATCCTAGCCTAACATTTCTGAGACATACTAAGTTATTAGGACTGAATTGATGTTTAAAAGTGCCATTAATTCATTTACCCCAAATGTTCATTAACAATGTAAATGTATGCTGATGTTCTATGAGACAAGGAAGTGACTAATGACTCTTCCAACTAACAACACTTAAAATGAATAGAAACTTTAGATAGCTAATCTTGAAGTAATCAAGACCCTCATTCAGCTTGGCATCTCTGTATGCTCTAAAACAGCTGTCAACTGTTAAAAATATATACAAAACACACATACGCACAGGCACATGCAGAAAGAAAGATATGTAAATATCTTGTTCTTCAAAGCCATAAAGGTTGCTAACCATAGTGGGCTTTGTGCATTGTATAGGTAAATATTTTATATAAAGCATCTATTTCATCTTCTTTTCTTTTTGCAGAAAAACATGTGTTGCATTTTAATGAGGTTGTCATATTACTTGAAGAATCATCACCTTTCTATTTTGTTTGTTTATTTTAATATATGTCTTCCATGGGCTTTCTTCAAGTATTTTGAAGCTTTTTACACATTTCTGCTGTAATCTTGAGGGGATGACACATTTTCTAAGTATTTAAACACTACACTTCAGTGGTTTGTCTGTGTAGAAGTCGTGTAATTTAAAAAACATTTATTCTCATAGATTCTATTAGTAAACAAGATATGTTTTTAATTTCTCAAATGTGAATTTTAACATTTATAAAGAAATAGTACTGTTGAATGATTGTGAGAATTCTGGAAAAGATTAGAAAAAAAATCCCGATAATAGAAATGGTGAGAAAAAACTACGTATCATTGGCTTATTTTCATGGGTGGTTGAGAAAAGTAGGTGAGCGTAGAAAAAAGAACTATCTGGATATATATATATATATATATGTCTTAAGAGATATTTTCCATGTAAATTAAACTTTTAACTGCTGGAATTATTGTTTCAAATAGAGAACAGCATAGAAAATATGACATTTTCTGTGTGTCCTATCAGGTTTAGTTTACATGAATTACCATATAAAATTCCAAAATCTAAGACTTAAGTTTAATAACTGATAAGTTACTAGCAGTTTAGCTAAAAACAAAAAAGCAAAAATATTTGTTAGACTAGGATTATTTGTTCTTAACCTTTAATGACCAGTAAAATGAAGAAGTAATTATTTTATTACTTCTTCATTATTACTATACTGAAGATAGCAGTATCAAAATTCAGGTCTGCTTAACCTAATGATTAAATAATATTGTTGGAATCGCTCGTTTCCACAAGCTTATAAGAGATTGGAATGTCATCAGTGATGAGAGAAATTTTTCTGTAGCAGACCCTTTGTTAGTCTGTTCTTAACTCATTGTGAAGAAATACCTGATAATTTATAATTATTTATTAAAGGTAAATATTTTTATCTTTAATAATTTATAAAGATAATTTATAAAGATGGATAATTGATAAAGAAAATAGCTTTAATTGGCTTATGGTTCTGCAGGCTGGCACAGAAATCATGGCACAGGCATCTTCTGGTGAGGGCCTCAGGAAGGTTTCAATCATGGCAAAACGCAAAGGGGGATCACGTATGTGTTAGGAGCAAGAGAGAAGGGAGATGTGTCAGACCCTTAAGCAACGAGATCTCAAGTGAACTGAGAACTGACCTCCCACCAGAACCTTCCTCCAACACTGGCAATCACATTTCAACATGAGATTTGGAAGGGACATACATCCAAACCATATCAGGTCTCTTTTGAGAATGGCATTTTGTTAAATATTACTACAGGTTTTAGCTTAAATTTTATATGTCAGAGTATTTACCTTCTTAGTTAACAGCTTTTATATGTTTAGATAATTACCTAACCTTTGTCTCCATAGAGTATTTGTTTCAAAGCTTTCTTTCTATTGTCATTCATAAAATATTTTGCAACTTAAAAAAAAAATTCCAAGATGTTCAGAATCCTGCCAACTGCGTTTTTGCTTCCTGTAATTTTGTTTTTTTCCCAAGTATTTCTTTCTTTTCATTGCAGTGACATGTTTTAAAACTAGAAGGGTGTGCCCTGGCTTTATTAATGAAGAAATTGGTAATTTAAAATAGTTGACTGATGTTGATAAAATAAAATGATGCTGTCCTATCATGATCTTTATTGTTGTTTTTCATATAGTAGAGGTGGATTTAAATTTGATTAAAAGATGGGTGTGTACTGCTGAAGATAACTAGATATCTGATTAAAGTATAAAAACGGGGTCTGAAGTAAACCCTACTCTGGGCTAATTAGTTGGAGTCATCTTAGAAATGAAAAACGTCTTTTTACTTTCTTCCCTGAGTTACAACTCTTTAGTGACTTCCCATTATATTAACAATAAAATCAAGATTGTTGACTGTGATGTGCATGGCTGTCTTCCTGTCTGTCTGGTCTTGCGCACATGTGCTGAGCCAGTTGTAAACTCTGGGCCCTTCCTACATGCCATTTCTCTGACATTATTTTTGATTCCTTCGGAGCACTCAACAATATATAATCCTATATTAATTTGTTTCCTTGTTTATTGTCTCCTCTCAGATGTGAGCTTTCTGAGGGCAGGAATTATGTTCGGACTGTATGTATACCTAGTACGTGGCACATAGGCACCATTCAGTAAATAATGAATGAACAACCTGTGTTGTTTTATCGTACTCAAACTGATAATTGCTTAATGCCTTTTTCTTCCATCTATCTTTCTGTTTACTCTCTTAAGTTGTAATGTATCAATTCTGTTTTATTGTCCCTGATAATTCTAGCACTTGAATGTTTCTTCTTTTAGGGTTTCAAAAGTCAGTATACTCTCCTCTTTTATCCTCTGTTCTCTTTGATCTCTCTTCCTTTGAAGTCCTCCTAGAATTCACTTATTTCATGTTTTCTTTTAAATATGACCCATCTCAGAATTTGCATTAAACCAAATGGTCAGAGAGTTTTCTGGCAAATACACGTCAAGTTATGATAATCAAGAATTAATGAGTTAACCCACAGCAATAATCACTTGGCAAAGGGAAAGCTAAGGAAATAAATTATTACTTTTTTATTTTATTTTATTTTATTTTATTTATTTTATTATTATTTTTTAAATAAATTATTACTTTTTAAAGAAATTTGTGGCCATAATTTGGGAGCATAGACTACATGTAGTATGCTTACATTTAATATACATGTTTGATACACATAATTTTTAGTGAACATGTTATGTAAGATAGTGCTCTTGATAAATGATTTCTAAAACTTATTAATGTGGTATATAGCAAATATTGTTTATTTTGCATATGAAATATGATAGAACCGGTAACCTGTAGGGTTGGCAGCTTTTCTTAAGTTTAAAACACTTTAAAAGTTTATTGGTTGTCATTCAGTAAATATTTGAGTGCCTTGTGTATACTAGGATTGTTCTAAGTGCTAGATATAAAACATTGAAAAAGATAAATACAGTTCCAGATACTAATGGTTTTTATGG